TTCTCCTTATGTCATTGGCTTCCTTGTCCAATCATTTGTGTCTTAATCTTTGATGTTTTATGCCTAAATCCTGCACAATAACACACACATCAAAGAATCCAAATGTATTTGCAATATGTTGAAGAATCAAACAAGAACAACAAATAAATCTATTAAAACATGAGAATTGATTTGAAAAATGCCAAGAAAGATGGTTCAATTTAAGTCAAAATTTGTACTTAACAAACTCTCCCCAACTAGATTTTTGCTTGTCCTCAAGCAACGTATGCCCCTCATAAAAGCAAGAGAGGTTTTCTCAAACAAGAAGGTTTGCTCAAACATAAGATTCAACCAAGAAAGGGATAATGGTTCAAATTCAAACAAGAGAGATTTGCTCAAACATGAGAATACACACAAGCAATGTTCACCACTCACTAGAATCGAACAATGAAAAAGAATTTAGTTCTTAAATAAATATCATACAATGTTTCAAATAACAACTAAATTCTCATACTTGAATCACTCTAACACTCCTCTTCAAAATAAGAATGAAGAATTTAACACGTTTGCAACCGCGGGACAATTTCACTTACCTGACAAACAATGAAAATAACACTCCAATTCATACATTCATCTAATAATAAATAAAGAAAACATGGAAGCAAAACTATTAATAAGAGCTTCTAAGATTGTGACTTGGTCAGGTTCACAACAAATGGATATTTCTAACGGTCATTGAATCAAAGTTTCCAATGTAAAAGAGACATTCACTATACAAGTTATTTACACATCCCAACTTCTTTTCACCATTTCCTTTCCTCTATTGCAAATCTTCTCAAACTTCCTTTTGCACAATTATTTCATTCTCTATATTTATTTTTCAAACAAGCATTCTTTTTCTTTTGTTTTTCACATTCATATTCACATTTTTTCTTTTCCATGCTTGCTTGAAATTTTTCAAATTTTTTTTAGCAACCTACAATTTTTCTTTTCGTTCTCCCCAAATTGAATTCAACCAAACCTCAAGTGAATGCTCCTTGATTTTTATGGCAAGGAAATCAATTTAAAAAATGTTAAAAGGTTTGAGAATTTTGTTTTTAGAATCTCACAAAATTTAATAATGAACTAAACTTTCAAATTATTTACACAAACCAAGTTCATCACTAAAATGAGATCTAAACTGTTTAGGCTCAAAGGGGTTAAAAAATTCTCACTACTCACGGGTAAGTTAATTTTGGATATGGTTGTGCTCAAATAAAAAAATGTCTTAATCATTTCTAAAGCTTCCACAAAATCATAATAATCAAAAGATTAAGCATGAATCAAATGAATTAAACAAGGTTCATCAGTCATCCTAGCATATAGTAAACAATGGAGATTTCTCATAATTTGTAACTTTTGGAACCTATGTGAAACAAGCATTCAAACGAGTTGCAACATTGAACAAGAACACATTTGCACAAAGCACAAAATTCTTAAATCATTCTAACATTCTATAAAGCGGTACAATTTGCCTTGCGCGCATTCACATGTTCAACATCCTACCATCACCATCCAAACTCAAGAGAATTTTCATTAGATGCTTTTTATACAAATAACAACCAATATAGAAGAAGTTCTCAAACATCCCTAATCAACACTAGAGAAAACGTGAAAAGAAACAAGTATATATATATATATATAATATAAACAACTGTACAAAGCTCAAAAATATAGAAACTATTGCAATGCACTTTAATATCTAAACACCAGTCTTCGACAACGACCCAATTTTGTTTGAACTGTAGTAAAGAGGAAAGAAGAAGAAATTTAGATTTGGAAGGATTCCCTCCGGGATTTATATCGTCTCCACAGGGATCGATGCGAAGGAAAGAACATCATTCAACGGTCTCTACATTTCTAAGCTTATGGTGACAAAATGGTTGAAATAGTCAAGGTACAACATATAAAAGCGGAAAATATAAAGACGGAAAATATAAAGTAAAGACTTTAAAATATAAACAGAGCCTTGTTGGGATTGGATCTCATCAATTGATAACACATGCATTCTTCTAACTAATTAAACACAAATCAATCATTCGTCTGATATCGTCACGTATCACCCACAGTAGAGGTTATGTCTAATATAACATCAAGAGAACAAATGTATTGTCTCATTGCTGATGTCTCACGTAACTCAACAACACAGAGCATTAAGAACCGATACTCAAAAAAATGTTAAGCCTAAATCTATGTCTAAAGTCTAGAACCTAACAGATAATCATCCTAGATCCATATCTGAAGAGTATATTTCTATAATAATTCAAATCAAAGATAAACAGGTAAACAAAGATGACATCCATATCAACTTCATGATTGATTCATGTAAAACACCATGATCAGAATACGTACATACACTTAACCCTTTTTACATGCATTCAACTAATTTTCCAAATGTAAGTGAACATAGTTCTTCATCTCTACTATCACGCATCCTTACAATATCGTATTGATCTTACTCATGGTACTCATGATACTAATCAACACAATACAATCAAAGATACTAATGAATATAAACTTACAAGAACATATCAAAAGTTTGCTCATTAATAGATGAATATCTAAGTTCTAAGATTTGAAAAAGGTTTTATCAAGACCCACAAATAAGAAATCAACGACAACATCAATATTGAATCAAAACTAGTTCACAATACATATATTAGATGAAATACATAAGGTATCAAAAGATTACATCCAAACGCAACAAGAGATTAAAGCTCTTACCTTCTTCCCCTTTAGGGTTTGTATTTATCTCTCTAGAATATGTTTGGAAATGAAATGAGATAAAATTTTGATCTGAAAATTACAAGTTATGTTCTAAAAAGTGAGAAAAGTACTTAAATAGTATTTACAAAATATGTCATGTTCGCCTAGCGAACACCTTCTCAGAACACTCTAACACAAGAGCATAAAAGAAATGAAAAAAAAAAATTCAAATGCAAGCTTAAAGTGCTTTTGAATGGTTCATCTTGTAATGAAAATCTTCAATCTTTTATATATCTTTGGACTTCCTCTTCCTTACGAAACTAAGCGATGTGGAACTTCTTGAACATGTATATTTTAAACCAACTCCAAAAATCTCCACCTTGATGGAAAATGTTACATTAGTTTTTATTCTCTTCGCCAACAATTATACTCCACCATAAAAAGTATAGTCACTTGAAGCTATATCACTTCAGTAAATTTCACACTGTCTTCACAAACAATCATAGTTTAAAAACTATCATACTTCACATAAAGAAGAGTATAATTCACTTGAATATAAACCTCTTCAATAATTTCCACATGTTGAAAACCAAATTGAAAACTTATGGTGCAACTTCCATATTGGTAGGAAATTCTTCAACCATATGCATAATCTCACAACACACTTTGCATCAATGCTAATGTGTTAATCCTCTAGAAATAACTTTTCATTTTTCATGACAATGGAAATATCATGAGGAAACACTTTATAATTTTCATAGAAATCCATCCTCTCTCACAGCGAGAGAGACGTTGTTGGCATTTGACTCAGAGCCTTTCTCTAACGATATCTCATCAGGAAACTTATACTTTATGTCCAACATTTTTATATTTCTAACATCTCACACTCGTTTTATTATTTTTCTTTACGTAATGCCTTCCTCTAGCAATCAACACTGAGTTTGATGAAGTATTATCTTCACCCTTCAATCTTCTTTCTTCAAAAATAATTTTACAAGCAACTTCTTTAAAATTCCAATCTCCCTTTCCATATATATAAAAACAGGTTTAATATGCTCAAAGGAAGACGAAAGAGACCATTTGAGTCTCAAAGCTTTATCTTCATCATCAATGTTGACTCCAATAAATTCTAATTCAGAAACAATATAATTTTGAATACTTAGATGATCAAATACTTCTGTATGTTCATCCATACATAAGCTATGAAACTGCTCTTTCAACAACAACCGATTTGATATACCATTTCCTTGATATAGTCCTTCAAGTTTCTCCCAAAGCTCTTTGGATGACGATGTACCAAGAACATTCGCAAGAATATTCTTAGCCAAAGACATGTGGATTGTGCTCGAAGCTCACAAATCTAGTTCTCCCACTTCTCGTTGTCCATGTTGAAAATATTTCCTTTCAACGCCTTGTGTAATCCCAATTGTATCAAAATGTATACAACCTTTCAACGCCTTGTGTAAAACAAAATTTTCCCAACCAACACAGAGTATAAATTTTTTTCCTGATGTGGAAGATCAGACAAGACTACAACCACAAAGCATACTAAAAATGTATACCCACCAAACCAAGACTCTTGATACCACTTGTTGAAAATAAACAAATCAGAGAGAATAAAGAGGAACACAATCCCACAAGACAAGAACATAACGTGGAAACTCTAAAACAGAAAGAAAAAAATTACGACCGTTGTTACAATATATAATTTACCCTCAAGCACCCTACGACCCCCAATACACTCACACCCTCTCAAAGAAAATATTTAACTACATTTCAGGTTAAAGTATTTTTGACTGGTACATCTTATAACGAAGAATTTCAATCTTTTATATAATTTTGGACTTTCTCTTTTTTTTATAAAACTAAACGATGTAGAATTTTTTTAACATGTATATTTTCAATTAACCTGACATCTTTATATTCAAATTCATGTCTAAGATTTTTTTGTTGTTGTAGGATTCAAATTCTATAATATAAAATGTGTCATTAGATTCTATTGCAAGACCTAGATTACACTCATATTTTCTATGAACTAAATGTATAATATGATATGTTTAAATCATTTACATTTCATATAAAAAAGACATTGAATTCTTCCTATCCATACCAATCAAAATAAACTCTAACCGAACTATAATTATTATTCTAATATACTTTAAACATATTCTTAAATCATTAGATAAATTTCATTCTAACTCTACACAAATTTATCTAACAACATATAAAACATGTAAAAGAGCTTGTTCTCACCACCATCATCAACAATTTACACCTCAAACTTCAATATCTACTTTCTTACATGGAGAAGTGATCTTAAATATATGTTCCTCTCCAGTGCAATTATCAACTTGAACAATCCAATGACTCTTCTTATTCCTTTCAACAACCATATCATTATCTTTCTTCATGTTAAGATCAATTTTAGTCACAAGCAACCCTTCTCCAATAGGCAAATATGTTGCCCTCAATTGTCTCCATCTCAAAGCCCTATGCCTAACATTAAACCCTACCACAAGTGCTCCATCTTTGTTGGCACCTTTAAATGCTGCTAGAAAAACTTCTCTTGCATTACTCATGTCACAATCTACAAGAACAAAATCAGCTCCTTTGTAAGCATTTAAGAGAAGGCTTTTAGCATCTCCTACAACAAACTCAACACATTCTTTATCAATTCGGCTTTCATTTTGGTCACATGAGATGCACACCACACGGCCGTGTGTTTGTTGAGCGGCTGAAGTCAGTGCGAATATAACAGAATCTGTTACACTCGCACTGGCTACAACCATAAGTTTTGCATTATTTCCAGCCGCAATAGCCGATATGAACTCGGCGACGTCGGGTTCTTTACCACTTGTAGCCTACAAAATTAAATTAAGATATAAGACTCTAAAAATTGCAAAAAAGATGTACAAATTCAAATTTCAAGAAACATGATGATGTATATGGTGTTTCTTGCTTACCATTTTAACAGTTTGAAGATAAGCATTCTTGGCATTTTCAGATGACCAAACAGACATGATGTTGTTGGATGTCTAATTTCTTAAAATTTCAGATTTCTTTGGTGAATTTGATTTGGAGCTATCTTTGATGTGTGAAAACCGTTGTTTCAAGTTCTTGGGGAACATTAGCATTGTGTATGGCATATATATACATATAAATTAATGTGGTGAGAAAACCATAGCTTATGATACGTCATTAGTTAAGTCATCTCCCATATAATTAATTACACTACTATTCCTCCGGTCTCTATTATAATTTATTTTGTTTAAAATTTTATACATATATATATATATATATATATATATATATATATATATATATATATATATATATATATATATATATATATATATATATATATATATATATATATATATATATATATATATATATATATATATATATATATATATATATATATATATATATATATATATATATATAATTGTTGCTAAATTAAAATGTATGTTCATTTTTAATATCTTACACAGATCATATAAAATCTTTTTTCACCACCACTAGTATCCGGCCTATTAGATTGATTAATCTGATTCGGAGATCGGTTTTGGAATTAAGTGGTTTAAGTCTCCTCTCGATTGCAGTGTGAAAACTCGAACAATGATCCTTTCTATCAAATCTAACGTCAATCAATATTAAACCAACTAGTGATTAGTATATAGATAGGATATCTTCCCCAAGAGTATTAATCAGGATTATTGTCATTTGGTGAAAAGTATGAAAATCAAATAGATGGATATTAATTTTGAGCTTATTACTTCATAGAATATTTTTATTAGATGATAATAAAAGAATAGATGGAAAAAGATTAGTGATTTTTTTGTTAGAAAATTAATTCTAAGCACTCTCAAATTATTTTAGGGTCAACCAGCAAGATAGAATCGTGAACAAGTCACTTGTTTATAATATTTCAAATACTCTTAAATTGTTTTAGAGTCAACAAGCAAGATAGAATCATGAACAAAATATTTATTTATAATATTTCAAGCACTCTCAAATTGTCTTAGAGTCAACGAGCAGTAATACACAAGATAATTAATTCTATTTCGAGTTCGCATAAGACCGATGAAAACTCGAATGTAAGTAAAATGAAAAATGAAATTTATAGTGAAGAAGATGTACTTTTGTTATGTATTTTTCTGAATCAGGAATTATAAATTTATAGATCAACTAGTGTTGTTTCACAACGTTGCGACTCTTGATGAAGTACACCCTTTCAACAACACTTTTTGTTGAGTGTTGCAATTTTTCGCCTACTGCAACACTTAAGAACTATTACCTATTTCTGACTGCATTCTGCCAAACTTCACGAAACGTTGCCTATTTTTGAATTAAAAAGATTGTCTACTGAACACTTCACAAGTGTTGCCTGTTTTCGAATTCTAAAATAAATTTTCTACTGCAACACTTCACAAGCGTTGTCTATTTTTGAATTAAAAAAAATCACTTACATATTTTCTTGTCATTTTGGAACACACCCATGATCATTAATTATTGTTATTAATTACAAAAATCATGCACTTTTCTAATAATGACAAGATCAACTCCATAAAAAATGGAAACAAATAATATTAATTTAATTAAGTATCTTTCAATTTGAACTTAATCTTAGTAAGAACAACATAAAGTCTCATCTGAGTGTTAGATAGTGATACTTTGAACCTGTTATTCCTTGTGATTAGACCGACATTACCTTACGCACACTCTTTAATGGTTTTTCACCAACATCTCCCGCCTAACTCTATTTATGGTTGTGTGCTTTTTCTGTTTCGTGAATTTTTTGTGAGGGAAACTCAAGTTCTCACTTTGAGACGACACTATCTCGAAATTCACATAGGTGAAGTTCATATTGTCTCTATTTTCTTGAGATATGTATTCTCAATATTGAAATTCCTTAAGATTTTGAAAACTCAATCCTCAATATGCAATAGTCAACATGATTACATAATATGGCACAAACATTCAAATCAACAGCTTGTTGTTTCCCATTTAAAATCTTAAGGTTAATGTATGATCATGCATGATGATGCAATAAGGTTTTTAAAAGAAGTGAGAGATGAAATTTTGAGCAATTAAAAGTAGTATAGTATGAATTGAAATGAATTCCTTAGTTATGTTAACTTGTCTCAAATATTCACTTGTCTCAAATATTCACTTGAATTTCTATGATCAAACTTCATGATCAACTTCATCATTGATCTATATCACACTTTTGATCATTTTCTTCTTTGATAATCTTAGTCTTCATCAAAACTGAACTAGATATAAGATGTATTATTCATAATCTCCTCTTTTGATGATGACAAACTCTTTGAACTTGTGATTTTATAATGATTTAAAAATCTCCCCCTAAGTTGTGTGTCTCCCCCTTAATTGGTGAATCTTGCAATGACATAGTCAAACTCTTAACTTCTTTGTTTTAGTGTTTGTTTTAAGCTATACAAAGATTTGGCAAGCTTCCATGCCAATTTTTCATTACCAAGTACATAACCTTATGGTTGCTCTATGTAAATCTCCTAATCGAGATCTCCATTTTAGAATGTCATTTTAACATCCATTTGATGAACCACAAGGTCATGTAATGAAGCTAATACAAACATTACTCTAATTGTCAGTGTCCTTGCTACTACTGTATATGTGTTGAAATAATCAACACCCTCCTTTTGTCTAAACCCTTGGCTATTAATATAAACTTGTAGGTGTTTAGTATACCATCACTATGATACTTTCTTTTAATCACCCACTTGCATCTAATGGATCTTGATCCTTTAGGTAGATCAACAAGTTCCCACGTATGGTTTGACATTGTTGAATCCATTTCGTCTTGGATAACATTCTTCCAAAAGGAGGCGTTCCTTGAATCTATTACTTCCTTATAATTTTTAGGATCATCTTCCACTTAAAGAATAATAGAAATCTTACGAAAAAAATTCCAATATTTCCTTCTACTAGATAAAAGAAACAAGTCAATAATCGATTTTATTCGGTCTTAGATCCTTAGCCTTTCGGACTCTCTTGCTTGTCCTAAGTTTGGGTTATGTTTTAACAATCCGTGAAGAACTTTCAGTTTGTGTTTTAATAATCCGTGGAGAACCCTCATCACAAGGTTATTTTAAAAGTAATGGCGCAAGAAATGTTATTTTAGCTCTGAAGGTTGAAGAAGGGTGGATTCAAGCGGTGTCTGAAATCAAGTGAAAGGCTAATAAGTATTTCACTGATCTTTTTAAAGAGTCGAAAGGTTATAGACCCCATCTTGATGATGTTGTTTTTCGTTCTCTTTTGGAAGAAGATGATCTTTATTTGATTGCACCTTCCAGTCTCTAAGAGTTAGCTTGTAATGTGTCTTAGTGTGAGGGTAACAACATCTCGGGTCTAGATTTTTCGATTTCTCCTTTCAAAAAAGATTATGTAATTTATTTAGGGAAGATATGGGAATTATGTTTGATCAATTTCATTGATTCACATCTCTACCTCATATTTTGCCTTTTATTTTGTGACTATGATCCCTAAGATTAAGTTTTCTTCTCAGTTGGGAGACTTAAAGTGTTGACTGTTGGACTTGGGTTGGTGATGGATAAGTTTATTTTCCATAATCAACAACTTTTCTTAATGGTAGAATATTGGTTGATGGAGCGGTGGTCGTGAAAGAGGTAGTTGACTTATCTAAAAGATCAAATAAAATTGTCTTATTTTTAAGGTGGATTCTGAAAAACTGTATGATTTATTTAGTTGGGGTTTTCTAGATTATATGCTCATAAGGTTTGAGTTTAATGAGAATTTGAGGTTTTGGATGAGAGTTTGTGTGTATTCGGGTAATTTGATGGTTTTGGTTAATGAGTATCCAATCTAAGATATTAGCATTCAAAGAGGTTTGAAACAAGGGGATCCTCTAGCTCTATTCTCTTTCTGCTTGTGGCTGAGAGGCTTAGCGAATTAGTCTCTAGGATCGTGAAGCTCGGTCTATGCTCTAGGTTTAGGACGTGGTCCTCTAATCTGGTGGTTTCCCATCTTCAATATGTAGTTGATACCCTCATTTTAGTTGTCCCTGGTCATAAGAACTTGTGGAGTATTAAGGAAATCCTAAGGGTTTTGGGCTGACTTCGGTTCTTCGAGTTAATTTCTTCAAAAGTAGTATGATAAGGGTTAATCCTGATCTTGTCTTTTTGGATGATGCAGGTGACTTCCTATGCTTTAGGATTGTGACCCTTTTGGTTAAGTACCAAGGCTTGCCACTGGGCGCCAATCCTCATCTAAAACTACTTGGGGCCATTTAGTTAGTTTCATGACCAAAAGGCTCCAATCTTGGAAGTGCATGTATGTTCATTTAGGTGGTTGAGTGGTTTTACTTAATTTAGTGCTTAATGTTATTCCCATATTCTTTATGTCTTTTCTAAAAATTATCGTGAAGGTTAGAAAAAAGATAGTAAGGGTTCAAATAAGGTTTACTTGGGTAGTAATTAAGGGAGGTGCTAATATATCTTAAGTTAAGTGAAAGATTGTTTGTATAGCTAAGAATAAAGGGAGGGGGATGGGTTGGGAGTTAGGAATCTATGACTAGTTGATTTATCCTTTTTTGCTAAATGGGTATGAAGATTGATTATAGGTACTTTTTATCTTTGGTGGAGAGTATTGTAGCTAGATATGGTGATTCAGAGGTTTCTTCTCTCTAGGGAGGGGGGATTATGGGTTTCAAGTGTAATTATACTTGTTGGAAAGATACGTCTCTTCTAGGATCCAAAAAGGATGACCCCTCTGATTGGTTTGTTGAAGGTATCACAAAAAAATAGGTTTGATTCCTCATACTTCTTTTTGGTAGGATCATTAAGTAGAATCCATCTCTCATAAGATTTAGGTTCCCTAGGCTGTTAATAATATCCAATCAACCTAATAGGTTGGTGGGAGAGATTGGACGGTGAAAAAAGAGAACCTTATCTAGGATTTTCGGTGAAAGAGACCTTTATTGCTCTACAAATTACCAGTTGTTGATAACCTTTTCTTA